AAGCCGAATATAACAGTTGAGCGACCGTGCTAGAACCACGGAACTCGGGAATGCCTAACACCTTCTCCCGGGTTAACAGAATTCCTTATCCGGATTTCTGGTACGCAGACTGTAATATAGAGTCATTCTTTTCCTCGATTCGGGATTAAAATTGGTGACTTGGGACACCCTAAATCTCCCAAGTGGCGACTCTGAAATAAATAAACAAATCCCGTTTCGATTGTCCTTTAATTGGAAAAAACTCCCTTGTACCCTCTCGGGTATGTAAAAAGAAGGTGTAACAGTATCTATTGATGGCATTAACACAAAAAAAAAGTGCCAATGAGCAATACCTTTGTCTCAATGAATGACCCTTGCCAGTTCGAAGCAGACTTGACTCAACCTTATCTTGATGTGGAAGAATGTATTTCAGCACTGATTGATTTACCTCAAACTGCTTGAGAGACATTTCCTTATTGTATGCTCTTATCAACCTCTTGTTTCCCAGACTTACTGCCTCAATTTCACTCAATTCAAAATTTAGGCCGTCTCAGAATGCGTGAATCTTTAATTGTTTCCTCAAACGCATCCTTTTATCATATTCAAAAAACTATGCCATTGTCATGATTAGACTAACTTTCAAGATCAGGCTGAGAATTATGCGTGCATGTCATGTCAATAGAGTCGGCATGAGAAGAACTATAAAAGGAAAAATGACCTAAACAAAAATTGACTAGAACTAACAGAAAGAGATTGCATTAGACAGATGATGAAAAGGGTTTGAACAAGACAAGCAAAATATACATGGGTTACAACTCTGGAACAATCTTAAATAACACTAGACGAGTTACTATAACTAAACGAACTAGACAAAATGAGAAGAAGAAGAATAGTTTGAGCCACAAGACAATATCCAGATTACAACCCTGAAATAACCCGGACAACCAGAAATGACAACAGAATAAACCACCAAAACTCCTCCCTGGCTAGCCAAGAAAGGAATGTCTTTCTAATTACCAAGATCGACGCCTTAGCCACTGGGTTGCACATCAAAATTACTGGGGCCTTCACCAATTTCAGTATCATTCACTCCAGTAAGCAAGTTCCCAAGAGGATTTTCATACTCCTTGTCACCACGCATCTTCCCCACAAAGTGTACATCATCATGTGCAGGTAAAGGATTCTGTGAAATGTTCTGGGTGTCACTATCCTGGATCACAATTATCCCTTCTTGAATCATTCTTTCTATCTCGCTTTTAAAATCCTGACAACTTTCGACATTGTGCCCCTAAGCATTGGAATGGTATTCACATCTTTTAAAAGGATCAAAGCTTCTTGCACGCGGGTCCACATGATTTGGAGGAATAGGTGCAATCAGGTCATAATGTTTTAATTTCTCAAACAAACTCGCTTAGGATTCTCCGATTGGAGTGAAAGACTTTTCTCTTTGCTAATGCCTTCTCATTTTGTACTCCAGCCTTGGTTGGAACCTCTTTTGGGTAGGGGGTTGATATGCTTGTAGAGGTGGGTAAGACATTTGTGGAGGCGGTGCAAGCCATTGCAGGTTTTATGAATGTGGAGCATATGGCGGTGCATCGTGGATAGAGTACTGGCGAGGTGAGGTATGAATTCAGGGATTTTGTGGAGGAAAGTAGCATTGGTAAGTATTATCTGGAGTATGAATATATTTATGGGGTCAGTATTGAGGCTGAAAGCGTTTAGCAGGAATGCTCACTAGATTCTGTCATTGGCGGGGCTCAGCAACATCTTTTCTACCAATCGGAGAACTGACCCGAGCAACTTGTTTATTCCATCTGAACCAAAACTCCCTAAAACTTTCCTTGGGTCTCTTTCCTTAGGCATCGAGGACTTTGAACACAGTCTTGCTACAGGATCGAGGAAGAGTAGCTAGTGAAGGATCTACAAAAATAGGAGCAGATGCCGGAGCAGGGTATGAGGTTGTTTTGGCTGGTGGAGCATGGAACATTTGGGAGGAAGTGCCAGGGTAATTGTGGTAAGGGGTAAAGCCCGGTGCATGTTGAGGGGAAAGGTCGACAGTAGTGGGAACCCAGGCTCGGGACAGTAGTGGAATGGAGGCATGGTTTTCTGTATAGTTGGTAGAGAATGAAGGTGGAGGGTGCCCCTTAATCCAGGTCTGATACATTACCGCCATCTGATGTTTCAACCTTCGGACCTCCTCTTTCAGTTGTGATTCTAATTCTACAATCTCCCTTGGTGGGTCTACAACCCCAGTGTCTGATTCTTCGCTAGCCATGACTGCCTTGTGCTTTCTGGTGTTGTATGGATGAATCACTAAAATGCCACAAACTAACCACCCTCTGTTATAATAACAATGAAAGTAAAAAAGAGGAGCAAAACAAAGCCAACATGTTAGCGTTAGAGCATTTATCTGATAAAAATATCACATTACGTGCAATGCCCCTTAGTCACAGTTAATGGTTCTAGAATGGCTTCGCGGGTACGAAGATCATATCATATGATCTTCGTACCCGCGAAGCCATTCTAGAACCATTAACTGTGACTAAGGGGCATTGCACGTAATGTGATATTTTTATCAGATAAATGCTCTAACGCTAACATGTTGGCTTTGTTTTGCTCCTCTTTTTTACTTTCATTGTTATTATAACAGAGGGTGGTTAGTTTGTGGCATTTTAGTGATTCATCCATACAACACCAGAAAGCACAAGGCAGTCATGGCTAGCGAAGAATCAGACACTGGGGTTGTAGACCCACCAAGGGAGATTGTAGAATTAGAATCACAACTGAAAGAGGAGGTCCGAAGGTTGAAACATCAGATGGCGGTAATGTATCAGACCTGGATTAAGGGGCACCCTCCACCTTCATTCTCTACCAACTATACAGAAAACCATGCCTCCATTCCACTNCTTTCCTCTCATTTCTCATGTCTCGCAAACTCATTCTTTTTTTTTTTGATTCTTTTAAAAAAATAATTCGATCGAACCCTATGTAGGTTTCCTACGTATCATGCCCCTCATGAATCAGATCAAGCATAGTTCTGAAAAAAGTAATAGACAAAATAAACTAAATCAAAAATCTTTTGGATTTTTAATTTATAATTTTTTGGTTTTTCAAATACAAAACAAGAAATATGATGACGCGAGACTTGACAACCTCAACTATACTACGACAAACTGTTACACCAACTAAAAGACTGAATACAACCATACAAGACTAGAAAGCAAAAAATAATATAAAACAGACTCAAAAATAAAAAGTCTTCTCAAACAGCTCCCAAATGTGATGGTCTCGGGGTATCTGTTGTGCTCGAGCTCTGGTAAATGAATCCATACCTGAATGAGAAAAATAAGACCAAACAGATTAAATGACCCGAGACACTATGTGAGACCACACCTCCTATTAGACATACGCAAGACAAGATTGGGCTATTTTTGAAAATTAACCTGCATGGCCAAGAGTGGCTATTAATGCAAACTCAACAAGATTGACCTCATGGACAAGGAAAATGCCTCACTAAGGCTTTTATGGATTCAAACTCTGAACATCATGGCCCAAAATTAATTTGCAAAAATGCCCCATTTTGCAAAAATGATCGATATGGCCCGAAACGGCTAAAGATGCAAACTCAAAAGGACGGACCTTAAGGTAGCGGGACGCTTAGTGCGATCTCAGGATGCTGAGACATGGGTCAATGAACCACTTTTGCGAAAACGACCTCATTTTGCAAGAATGACCCATGTGGCCAAAAGTGGCTAGACATGCAAGATTTGGCTAAGACCCCACAAAGCCAAGAACCTAAGACTTATTAGGAAGACCGGATCCTATGTGGGTTGCCTACGTATCCCGCCCCGAAAGACGAGAATCAGGTTCACATAGTTCAGGAAGACTGGACATGGGAGAAAGCCTTTAAAAAAATGCAACTAATTTGGAAAATCATATTTTTTTGTCTTTTTGAGAAATGATGAAAAATGTAAAATCTTTTTGGATTTTCTTTTTCTCCCTTTTTGAATTTTTGGAAAATGATGAAAATTGTGAAATCTTTGTAAAATCTTTTTGGATTTTCTTTTTCTCCCTTTTTTTTTTGAATTTTTGGAAAATGGTGGGAGAGTGTAAAATCTTTTTGGATTTTCTTTATCTTTCTTTTTTTTTTTTTGATTTTTTTGTGGGAAAGTGCAAAATCTTTTTGGAATTTTCATTTTTCATTTTTTTTTCTTGAAAAAGTTGTGAAAGAAAAATATAATTGGGCCCTACTTGCTTCATTTTTTACCCTTCTTTCCAAAACATCGATCCGTCAAATGACCTTTCTACCCTCGTAGATGCAACATTTATCACATAGGGATGATTGGATGTCTGTTTGGGCCACGGGCCCATTTTTGACAAAATTTGGATAGACTTCCTATAAAGGGACACGGTTCCTGGGACCGAGCCCTGCTAGGTCTAAATAACATAATGCAAATAAAAATAAACAAAAGGCTGACCTAAGTTTGGGGTCCACTAACAAGGTAATTCGGGGGAGCGTATGGTCGATGGTGGCTGCTTAAGCTTTCCACCCACTTCATACGTCCGAGCCCCCCCCCCCCCCC